ACTTTATCCTAGGCTCTGCCGCACGGAACGGTGCGCACCTCTGCCATACTGATGACTCGAGCTACTAAGTCCATGACTCCAGTTTTTTTTTTCAGGTACAGACTGAACCTGATAATCGACTTTTCTGGTAGGAACCGGCCTCCAATACGCCAGAATGGCAGTTTCAGAAGTAACCACAATCCAACGAGGACTGTGTTGAACATGCTACTGGTAAGTATCAGCGTGTTTTGGGATGTTATAGGAAAGGTCGCCAAACCTGTCAGAATCCAAAAGAATCAACTTATTACTCACATCAAACATTGCTGCCACTTCACAGTGTGGTAGTCAGGATAAATGAATGCCAGCATCGCTACAGCAGCTTCATATCAAGTGATATCTCAGATTAACCCGTTTATCTCTGACGCAAGGCCAATTGGTGGAAAAGATGCTGAACCTCTCCGTACAAAAACATAGAGAGACGTTGCTTTCTATTTTGGTCAGATAAAGATCGTTTCCCAGGCGTGTGGTGCAGTAGGAACGAAATTGTCGTGTCGCAGCGAGAGAGACGCCGCGCGCGAAGGAATGTAGCAAAGTGCAGCAGCAAGTAAGAAATTTAAGAACAAAAGAACTAACAAAAGAACACTAAAGAATTGCCAAAAGTAATAATTGCATAGCGACTGAGCTGTATGGAGAACGCTAGAAGTGTTATAGCGAGGCAAATGGTCCGCAACAGCCGCGTGCTTTCTCCCATTTCCCAGCAATCATGCTTTGGTGGCGATAGATGGGTGGTGAAGTGTTGTATCATTTGTCTCCCTTAGAACAACCACGGTTTTGTACTTTCGTCTGCGCCCTCTTGCAGTAATAGCCACATAGAACTACCACTCCCTCTGTGACTTTTCAAATATGGTTGAAACTATTCCTGCCTATGGATGTTGCTAGCTCGAAGCACCTATCTATGGGTCATTTTTGAAACTTCTGATTGTCTAAAATAGTGGTACGCGTTATCTTTGACAATCCTCACGCTAGCCCTTGCCACAGAAAGCTGGACAGGCGTGAAGACCCACTTATACTTCCAGAAGACAACCCTTCCGGGATCGTCCGGTCCAATTTTTTGGTGGTTGTGATTTACAACTGAATTGCCTTATCAACTATTGGCTAACGACGGGGTTCTGTGATTAGATTCTTGCAAAAGTATGTGGAAGTCGAAGGGTGACTGGCAATGAACAGCCAAGATAAGATGAGCTATGCGTTAGGGTACTGTCGAAAAGCGGGTAATGGTTGGAGACGTAACTGGCCTTTATAAAATGTCATTTTATGGATCGAAATGCACCGGGGAGCATGAAGTACATTTGGGAGCGTGGAGACTCTAGAGCGGTCAAAGCCAAAGCCTTCGGCTTTGAACCAGGGAACTTGAACTTGCTTGGGATATATTTTCGAGTGAGCTCATTCAAAAAGTGGTTAACACACTGCATTATTTTCCCAGTTGTGAAATGTAAGGACGGACCGCGCGAATGTCCCTTTTGCGGCAAACGGCGAAGTTTTGTCGCCATGTCCCTGTTTAACACTATATTCATATCTATTAGGAAAACTGACACTTTGCAGGATTTATTATGAAGGACTAAATACTTATCGATTGTTGGTTGTGACTTCCTCGTCGTCGCCACCCGTGGAACCCATCATCACAGAGCATATACGGATTGATCGCGGCACGCCGTCTTTCCAGCGCCCAGTCGTCCATTTCGTGACACAACCGATCGATATCTATCTAATCTTGGGGGCTAGTTGCGCGTCTTCGTGCTCGCTGACTATGAGCTAAGTCTGAACGTGAGACTGCTCAGCTAAAATTTTTCAGAAGCTTCCAGATTATAGACCACATCAATGCTAATGACTTCATTTTATCTTTCAGCTAAACCTCTTTGATTACTTTCAACTGGATGGTGACCAGATGGAGTGCTACAAGAAAACGAAACCATTCAGTGGTAGCAGTAGATACTTCAAAGTGTTCGTAATTCTATGGGATGAGCTTATGTGTTGTCACCCAAGAAAAACTCGCTGAATGTTTACCGTTCAGGGCGTGGTCAGCTCTTATCGCTGGATCGATCGATAAGCACACATGATCACCAGACAAGACGCTTCATGAATGGGACACCCCGGGCCACGCCCAGTTTGAACTTTGATTAATTCTGAATTGCTTCTGATGGATTTATCATAATAATGTCGCCTTTCATGGCTTGGACTTTTTTCAGCATTCATTTATCTTCAACCCTTTATTTCTCACAGTATTTAATTCTTCAAATCAGGTTTCTGTACTGCAAAGCAACGAAGCTTTATCGTTTTCAGCTGATAAAGATTACATTTTTCGTGAAACTCGCGAGTTTTCAATATTTTTATTGTTTTTGCTACAACGCATCATATCCGACTACTATGACTGTTTCTTCGATCTTTGAAAGATTTCCCAGCCTCGTATTTATCAAACTTTGTATTCTTTCTAATATTTCCAGCTCATATTATCACCGCTTCTCTACAAGATGACATTCAGGACAGTAGGATTCATATAAAGCCCTGTTACTGCAAAATTTGAATACAAACTCGATAACTAACAGTCAAGAGACTATTTGTTATCGTATATGTGTTCAAATTTTGCAGGAACAACTTCTTGTATCCGGAGCGACGCTGTAGTGAAACTTTTTCCTTTATTCCTCACACTCACTGACCGTAAGAGCATTTTTGAGACGTACTTCCCAATGAAGGGTATGCGGACTTACGTGCGTCCGAGGATGCGCGCGGCAAATTGGGCGGCGAAGTTCGTGGCGATTCAAACGGCTATGCCGCCTATTACTGGGGCACAAACTTGAAGTAGAATAGTTGGGTATGGTCAGCTGATCCTACTAATCTACTCTACTACGGTTTGTCCCTTAATGATAAACGCCGCAGTCGTCCAAATTTGCCGCAAACTTCGCCGCACAATCTGCCGCGCGCGTCCTCGGACGCACGACTTGACGCATACCCCGTCATCCTTCGGAAATGGGGGGACGGTACGAACGTGCGTCCGAGGGTGCGCGAAGCGAATTGCGCGGCAAA